TAAATTTTTTTTGTTTTTCAAGCGCCATAACAAATTGTAATATATAGAGTTAATTTGATCTAATTTCATCAAGTATTCTAGTGATGTAAAATGCCTTTTGATATTATATTATTTTAATTCAAAATTTTAATCTTTGGGTGTCTTAAAGAGTACTCAAGATGTTAATGACTTCAACATTAAAAAAAAAAAAAAAAAAAAAAAAAATTAATAAATAAATAAAAAAAAAAAACTAAAAAAAAAAAAAAAAAAAAAAAACCTGGTATAGTATTACCAACCTAAAATGTAAACAATATCTCTTCTCCAGAGTTTTGATTTATTTAGTAACAAACTAACAATATAACAACTTAAGTTGTAGTAATACTTCCTCCATTTTCGTAAGTTTGTACCATATTGAGTTTGTGCTTAAAAGTTAAAATATAATCATGCAAAAACTTATTAAATGTTTCGCAATATTTATAATACAGAGTAACAATTTTCGTAGTACAGTATAATTTAAGTTTATACACTAAACAATTCGAGTTATTAATAGTCAAAAATACATTTTGATAAACATGTCAAATCAATATAATAAAACAGAGCAATTATTTAAAGACATGTTCATTGCACGGGGTTTATTTATAGCTACTTGTACAATCGTACTCATATCTTATAATAAACTCGTAAATTAAAAGTCGATAATGGAGCTCTATTTTTTGGATTAAAATTATAACTTGAACTTATAAACTATAATATCACAGGAGATGACGTTTAATATTAGTAGTGTTTTACACGTCCATGCAACCTTGATAATAACGATCATGTGCCCTTCTTTAACCTTCAAGCCAAAGATTAAACCTTTTTAGTCAAACAAAAAAAAAAAAAAAAACTTTACATTCTGATGCTATATATCACGCTATAAAAGTTCCAAATTATTATTTACAAAAATTAGCATGTATGCCGACTTGGTTGGCAAAACCTTACAATCTTCGCAAATCCATACTCTATCGAAACATAAATTTAGGACCTCTAGAAGAATGCTCCAATGATTAACGATAGCTTCGTCATACTTGTTTAGTCAAATATGGGAAGACTTAGCTTAAACGCAGCATATTCCCTAGAAATATGAATTTCGGCCTCGGCTATGGAATATAGGCTTGGCAAAGAAATTCATAGTGTTAAAGACCAAGATTGGTTTATATATAGATAAGATTCAAATCCATGATATTTATGTTACTTTGGCTCTTGATACCATGTTAAAAAACCAAGTCAACCAAAAACCTAAATTAATGGTTGAATTCCATGGTTGGTTTATATACTTTATCACAAGTCGTACGGTCGTACCAATACTCAATTTTGATTCATCTGACTTAAATTACAATCATAAGGTAATTAACAAGGGTTTCGAGTAATACATGCATGGTCCACCATTTCGCAAAATTTTATTACATTTAAAATGAAAAATAAAATATAAAAGAAACGGGCATGTATTGAATTGACAATTACACGTGTCCACCAACTTAAACTTAGATCTGCCTCGATTTATAATATGACTTGATTTGGCTCGGAATTGAAATGGACTCATCTTGACTCCAACTTAATACTTTGTATAACTTATAATATCATAATAAACTAATTAACAATAGACTCAAATATGACAGAACTAAATAGAAACAGACTCGAGCCAATTTGAATCAACCCTTACTTTAGAAGCTTGTCCACGTACACAATCCAATTACCACATCTTAGATCAATTAGTCAAAACGGTCCTCGTGTGATAGAAAATTAGACTAATTAGTTTTACTATACATGTACATAGCATGAAAGGCAAGAAACCTTTAGAGAACATATTCTTGACCAATAATGATTCTGTTTAGATTCAGCCTTTGAAGCTAAAAACACTGGCCTCAAATTCCAATATAATTTCACTAAAATATAATTAATATGTTCATATAAATAAGCTTAATGTAAGATTTAAGTCTTTGTCATTTCATATTTTGTTGTGTTCTACCTTACAATTTCAGTTGAAGAAGCCATTACGCCCAACACACTACGCTTTTCTTGTTTCAACAAGCAATAATACTATCATAACTTCGTATTATTCATTAGTTATTATAATTTTTGTTTTTTAGTTTTTTTTTAATTATTTTTTATAAAATGTTATGTAAACTTTTATATCTGGTAGGTGAGTATTACAAGGGTGGGTTTGATTGAAAACTAGTCAGATCATGAGTTTATGTTGGATTAGTAGATCGATAATCAATTGTTGATCAAAACTCTGTGTTGATAACTATCACAATCAATTGGTTAATACTTTTTATGATTTTTTTTTAGTTGACACATTTGACTTTTGACCCTATTTATACATTTTATTTTGACTATCATTTGTGGTTTATTTATAATCTAAAAAAAAATACAGTCATATGATCATTAGTTATTAAATTTGTTTTATTCTATAGCTTCAATTAATTAATTATTTTTCATGTATAGATAATTAATGATCTAAATGATTGAAACTGTAGGTAAACACATGAAAAAAAATGTCAACTAAACAAGAACGACATAAGTAGTTGATATAATCAAGGCGGGATAATCTTTCAAAGTACTAAATGCTCAAAAAAAATTACATCATCTTTAATTTAACAATCCATTTTATTAGAACAGGTGAATTAGAAGAAATCTTTAGGTTTTACTTTTCTTTGCGCCATTACATCTATAAGATCTAGCCAATAATTTTTTTTTGGTGCACATCTAGCCAATAATGTTGGTGGAGAACATATCCATATAGTTTGAAATAAAGTTACAAGTAAACTAAAGTTTGGGGGCCATCTGTGCCTAATATTATTAGTAATGTAAATTATTGGTGTTTATTGCTTTATAGAGCTCCAATTAAATGCATAAAACTCTAAAACTTTTTCTCTCAATAATGCATAGATTAAAATGATTGATCTTCATGCTAGAATGGGAAAGTTCTATATGGTACATCCAAATTCGATTTCACTAGTTTTAGTCTGTTTGGTAATCCATTCCATTCAAGTAACTTAAATGATCGACAAGGTGTTGAAATCATTAAAGTTAATTGAAATGAATAGCATAGTTTGGCAAGTTTGATGAAATAAATAAAGTTCAGAAACATGAAATGTATCAAATTTATGCATTGAAATCGCATCTAAAATTAAATAAGATGATTTAAATGCTTTTGTTGTTCATTTTAAGTAAAATTTGACCAAAAAAAAACGTTCACATATTTAGTCAAATTGTTACAACTAAAAGTGAACGAAGGAAGTAATTATGTAAGAAATTATGGGTACAATAAAGAGCATGGATCATTGCTCTGGTAAAATGCTACACGATAAATGTGTAAATTACTTGTATATAACTGCGTAAAGTATTGAAACACTTTAGCCTTTTCACAAATCAACAAACTCATATTACTTCATTGAATTATAATATTTCCAAAGAATCACATAACTTAAAGATCACTTAAATACACCATATTTAATTACATCTTCATATTATCTTTCAATTTTTTCCTAATTTTCTAATTTGCACCTTTTTTTTGTATGGGTTAAAAAAAAAATATTGATTGATAGATCTAAAATCAATATCACAAGAAGTTTTCATTAAGGAAAAGGACAATTGCAGTTGCAAATTTGTAACAAGCCACAAGATATTTGCAAAACAAACCATAGCAAATTATAAAAATAATCGTCATCACACATAATTCTCACGCATCCCAAATAAGCTACGTACACACCAATCTTCTTCCCCCATAATACTACAATTTAACCCATTTCTTCAACACCGAAGTTGTACGATAACACTGAAAAATAACAAACTAAATTGTCGAACATACCAATACGTTGAACTAAAAACTAGTATGCCTAATGCTCGTCATATCCTAACTATAAAGGTGTATCTCTTATGTAAACGTGTTGTAATACTACGGGACATGTAGAAGCGGCAAATGGGTCATGTTGTGTCAGTTTCGAGTTTGTATCAAAGGTGCCTATGACCTACCCAAGGCTAACGATCAATTTACTCCCTTTTTTTTCTTTTTGTTAGTCTCATTTGGCTTTCGCACAAGTTACATTGCACGTGTTTAAGCATCAATATATATCTTAACTGCACATTATAAAAATAAAAATAAAAAAAATTGATAATTTATACTTATACATTGTGACAAATCTAAAAAGACAGATGCCAAATGAATATGTTTCTTACTATCTTTGCATAATTATCGAAGATTCTTCATGATTAAAATTTCTCTCCATAATGTAAAGATTCCAAATGAAACAAACATAAAGAAACAGAGGATCAAAGAGAGTGGTATACAAGTTAAAATGCTTGACTAAACAACTTACATCGCCACCTTAGCATTATAATCTACTTGTTGTGAGTCACTGTAAACATATGAGTATGTGACTCTATCCCAGTTTCTTTCTCCCCTAGACCTTACCCACCACAAGATGTATGTTCTTATGATGATAAGATGGTCTTATTTAAAAATAATTATTCATCAGTTCGTTAACTTGTTTGATCACACTATTTAAATAATTTCAAGAAAATGTAACCTAGTTTGCTTGCCATACTAGTATTTTATAATTCAAGATTGATTAACCCTCTAGCTTTTAATTCTCTCTTTGATTTTGATTTTGAAGTACAATATTTTGTGAAGTACGGAGTATAAATTTTAGTTAATAAGTGAGTAGCTATTTTAGTTAAGTGAGTAGCTCAATAACAGATAAAAAATCTAAGCACTATGCACGTAGGACTTTGTCAAATTCATATTGAAAGCACTTACTTGGCTCATTAATGGATAAATAATCTCTACACTAATCCATAAATATCGTGTCAACCTCTTGTCATGTAGTTGTATCGAATTTACTTTACCAACTCTATCAACATACTTGCCTCAAATTCCCCATCATTTACTAGTGTGTGGGTAGAAGTAAGCTCAAAGCCCACTCCATTATAAAGATATGTAATTTCCTAGAACTTTTAAGAAATTTTCACCTTGTCCAACAATAAGAAATAACAACATATCATGCACACAATCCTCTCTTATTAAGTAGTTCTTACCCATAAGGCACCTTCATATGTTATAATAATTGCCCACCTCTTGTCTTGTTTCTACAACACTCATCTATAAATACCTCCTCTTTTCTCCTAATTAATCCATCAACCCATACACTTTTCTTTTACATCACAAGAAAAACACACAACCAAACCATACAAAGAAAAACCAATTATGGGTTACAATAAGATCAAGTGCTTTTTACTTGCATCCTTAGCCTTTGCAATGGTCATTGGCCTCTCTGAGGGGTTCGATTTCCATGAGAAGGACCTAGAATCCGAAGATAGTTTATGGAACCTATACGAGAGGTGGCGTAGCCAGCATACCGTGTCAAGGAGCCTCGAAGACAAACACAAAAGGTTCAACGTGTTCAAGGCTAATGTGAAGCATGTCCATGAAGTTAATAAGATGGACAAGCCTTACAAGCTTAAGTTGAACAAGTTTGCTGATATGACAACCCATGAGTTTGTTACTCACTATGCTGGCTCGAAAATCTCCCACCACCGGATGCTCCAAGGCAAGAAGAGTACCGGAAGCTTTATGTATGAAGACGCCGATAATGTCCCTGCATCCGTTGATTGGAGGAAGAAGGGTGCTGTTACACCTATCAAGAACCAAGGCCAATGTGGTAAGTACACAATTACTTGTATTCTTGTAACTTGTTCTTTAAGTTCTGCATTAAATCATTTGCTAATATTGCTTATTGGACTAATATCTAAACTTCAAACTAGCTGAAATGAGTCCATCAAGAAAGTGACAGTTTACTCCAAATTAACTTTTCTTGTATGCTTCTTATTTGCTGATATACTCTTTACAGGAAGCTGCTGGGCATTTTCCACTGTCGTATCCGTCGAGGGCATAAACCAAATCAAAACAGGGAAGCTGGTTTCCCTGTCTGAACAAGAGCTTGTTGACTGTGACACCTCTGAGAACCAAGGATGTAACGGCGGTCTCATGGACTCTGCTTTCGATTTTATCAAGAAAACTGGTGGACTTACTGATGAAAAAAACTACCCTTACTCAGCTGCAGATGGTAAATGTGATAAATTAAAGGTATTACTTTACAACCTTTATAATCTTGTGTACTGAAATGATCCATTATAAACAGCAGAATTTAACAAGAAAAATAATGTTGCAGTTGAATGCTCCAAAAGTATCAATTGATGGGCATGAAGATGTACCTGAGAACAACGAGGGCGCTTTGCTCAAAGCTGTTGCTAACCAGCCTATTTCTGTGGCCATTGATGCTGGGAGTCAAGATATGCAGTTCTATTCAGAGGTAAATATAAATCCATAATTTGAACATTTATGTTTCGAAATGTAAAACATTGATGCTTAATATTTTTCTATGATGATTTGAAAAACAGGGGGTGTTCAGTGGAGAATGTGGAACAGAATTGAATCATGGTGTCGCGGCTGTGGGCTATGGAGCTACCCTTGATGGTACCAAGTACTGGATTGTGAAGAATTCATGGGGAGAAGAATGGGGCGAGAAGGGTTACATCAGGATGAAGCGCGGTATCCCAGCAAAAGAAGGGTTGTGTGGGATTGCGATGCAGGCCTCATATGCTATCAAGAATTCTTCCAATAATCCTGCATCTTCCGAGGATGGATACTCCGGGAAGGATGAACTTTAAATCAGTTTTAGAGATGTTTGTGATTGAATCACTCGAACTTTTATGGCATATGTAACTTGAATTATACATTTCAATTGTTAGCTACACTTTAATAGCCTATTCTAAAGGCAGCATAATAATAGTGGCAGTTATATAAAATTCTGATGGTCTTTATATTCAAATTCATTTCTGATTACTATGTTTTCTGGGAAGTACTTTCATGGAAAAAGCGAATGAAAGATTTATACAGTACAAAACTACAAATATAATTATCATGCTATAAGCTTGCTTTGCTAAACAAGAATTCTCAAAATATAAGTTTATTTTTTGATCCAGAGTGTTATTCGCTCAGCTGGAGACAATTTATTGAGCTCGGTCATAGATATATAAGTCTAAACATATAAATTTCAAAATAGAAATATATAGTATGATTGTTCAGAAGCCAAATCTGCTGTTAGCCGTAGCATTTGATGGGGTCAGTGCAACCCTTTGCAGCAGACTGTTTATCACCAAAACGGCCACCCTTTGCCAGATACTGCTGGTGATATTCCTCTGCCCGGTAGAATCTCTTAGCTGGCAGAATCTCAGTTACAACATTCCTGTCCTTTAGCTCCAACTGCTTGGCTTCCTTCGATTCCTGAGCTAGACGTGCTTGAGTCTCATTGTAGTAGTATATCCCTGACCGATACTGAGTTCCTACATCACCAGCCTAACAGCACAAATTAAAGGATGTCATGACTCAAAACATCCAGTCCTTGTAAACAATAATATCGAATCTGTTGTAAACACATATCTTTTTACTACGTAGAATTTCTCAGAGGTGATGACCCAGTCCAAGAAGGAGATATCAAACAGATTTTGAGAAAAAGAAAAAAAAATTCAAAGAAATAAAACAAAAGAGTTAGATATCAAATGATTTTCCACGGTTTTTTCTTCTCTATTACAATTTAAGACATGCAACAGTCTAAGATGCATCAATGAGCACCTCAAGAGTCGAGCTCAATATGAAATCAACTTTACTAGTCCAATTCATCATTTTAGCATCTGGTTTAACCCACAAACAGCCTGGATATGACATTAGAACACTTCCAATTAAGTCATATACTTGGAAATTTCCTCAAAGTTGATAGGTCTGGCTCTGACAAGTGATATAACCTTATAAAATTTCTGTCCTCAAATTCGTCTATCATAGTTATTCAACTAATTCTCACTTCAGTAACTTCACCTTTAGGGTCATAAAACAAAGGAAACCTCGTGAAATTACATAATCCTTCCATACATAGCACTGGATATTGACAATACTCCGTGTATACCTACATGTGCTCTTCACAAAATATAATTTTTCCACCTTGGATCATGTTTCCCCCGAAATAGAGAGCTATAAATTATTTTGAAACAAGCACTGATTATAGCTTTAACACAACATTGACACTGTTCGTAGCTCTTACGTAAATGAATGTTTGCAGTTTAAACCTAATAAAGACAAGATGCCAGTATACTACTTTGGCTCATACAAATTACATTGATAGCCAAAGAGGATGCATTGATGCATACTGCTTGAGATCAAATAGATATAACATGGTAAAAATCCGACTAAGGCAGAGATCATATATGTCCATATACACATGGCTAGGTGATCTAGGTCCAACATGTATTGTACTTCAATTCTTGAGAGTTGAGACTTGGGATTATGTAGAGCAGGGACATAGGATTATATGCTGCAATTGACCATGACTGGGGTAAAGCTAAGAATCCTTGGAATTCTAACTTATAAGCCTGAGCGACCAGCTCATGAGTGCCCAGACTGCCCACTCACCTCTATACAAAGCAAGGTGTGCATCAATTAAAACACCCAAACTACATGAGTACCAATACTTAGAAGTCACATTTAGACCTTAAAAAGGAGCCAACAGTAGTATACAAGACTATTAACACAGAACAAAAGCCAAAATGTATAAAATTCCCCTCCAAATCACTTACCAAGGTAAGTCATGTATTGCCACATTTACTCCTCTTCTAAACTCTCTCAATCCCCAACATAAGGAACAAAATTTCCTAGGCATGCCTATGGTTTCACCGAACACACCCCTCGAGACCAACGCTGCTCGGTGTGCAGGGTGGCTACTGGCTAGGAATAGGATACATTATACCATTATATCAAACAAAGACCAATAAAGCAACCATCAACTTACCTGTTCTTCCCACTTTACTCTCTCAAACTGTTTCACCTTTATTCAGTCCCATTTTTCTAAGAAAGGTGGGACATTTCAGTAATGCACAAATCACTATACAAGCATACACTAACATATATAGCCATCCTCTTCATATGATTGTAAGTCAACTTAATGTCTATTAGCAAATAATCACTCTCTCCAAATGTTGTTCCTCCTTTGACGGTAGTTGTCTTACATAAAACATATTTTACCACCAAACAAACATACTGTCCCATTTTGTATTTCAATAACACATCCAAAATTACCAAACCCCTCATTTGGATAAATGTAAAGACCCAAACAAGTCATTGACATAGACGGGATTCGATTTCAAGTCTTACATACCACTCAACCATCCTAACAAAAGAACTATTTTTATATAAACAAACAAAATTTTACAATTAAATTACACAATTCATACAATCATACATCAAAAATTGAAAAACTAATCACAATCATAATTTAAAATAAATCAAAATAAAATTCCATATTATGAAATACTTCAAAAATAGATAAAAACTATACCTGACGATTAAGAGTGGTAGGATCATGCCGAGACCAAAAGAGGTCAAGAAGATTGGTATAAGGGCACACATTCGGGTCAAAATGAACCCGAACAACTTCAACATGGTTAGTATTTCCGGAGCAAACAAGCTTGTAATTCGGGTCAGGAACATGACCTTGAGAATACCCAACTTCAGTTTTAACCACACCTTCAATTCTCTGAAAGGCTAACTCAACACCCCAGAAACACCCGGCTCCGAATTGGGCTAACTCCAAACCCGGTTGATCCGGGTTGTCTGAATCGGGTTCTAATGCTGGATTGTTTGTATTTGGGTCTGCCATTGTTGTGGATTGTGTGAATGAAATGATTCAAGGGTTAGTGAAGATATAGTTTATCTCATGAATAGAATAAATATATGGAATTTTATAAAGTCAAAGATTTGAATTTTCTAATGTAGTTGATCAGGATCCAGGAACCACTAATTTTGACTTTTATTTTTACTAATTTTGGACCTGTTACTACATTTATTTCAACAACAATAATAAAAAATTATTTTTAAATTTATCATGTGAGAGTGGGAAAATATGAAGAAAAATAAATATTATGGTAATCCAATTCAGTAAAAAGTTTATTAAACATTATTAGTATCATGATCAATATATGACAATCTTATAAATTGTACCTTGGCCTATGTGAATATCATGAAATAAATAGATTTTATCTTATTATTTTCTATTTAAGGAGAATTGTATCTTATTAATAAAATATTATCGGTCTCAAAAATAAATACTCTTTCCGTTTTATAATGTTAGTCACACCACTCACACATGGAATCAATTACATAAAATAAGAAAAGAAGAATATTTGGAATCTAACATTAAAGTACAAAATAATTCATAATTAGTTTAGCTATTTAAGTTTTTGATTTTTTTTTTTTTTGGAAAGTATAATTCATAATTAATACTGTCAAAACGGTTTGACAGTTCGGTTTCGGTTCGGTTTGAAATCGGGTCGGTTTGAAATCGGTTCAAATGTCTTACGGGTCGGTTTCAGTTCGGTTTAAATAATTATCGGTTCGATTCGGTTTCGGTTTATTCTTGAACGGTTTAAATTCGGTTCGGGTAGTAAACGGTTCGGTGCAAACGGGTTGCGGTTTGTTAACGGTTCGGTGTAAACAATTTTTATCCCGATTTAAATTCTGTTCGGGTTGTAAACGGTTCGGGTTGTAAACGGTCTGGGTAGTAAACGGTTCGGTGCAGACGGGTTGCGGTTTGTTAATGGTTTTTATCCCGATTAGAAACGGTTCGGTTCTTTTTTAGTTCAGTTTTATTTTAGTTCGATTTATAACTGGTTCGGTTTGTTAACGAGTTCGGTTCTTCTACGATTTAACATTATTTGGATCAGTTTTATTTTAGGTTTACTAAATTACGGTTTGGGTCTGTTTTTTATTTTAAAAAATCGGATTTTTATCGAGTCGTTCAAAATACTCCTAGTAGGAAGTGGTTTGTAAACGGTTCGAATTATAAGCGATTCGGTTCATAAACGGTTCGGTTTATAAGCGGTTTGGTTTATAATCAGTTCGGTTTATAAACGGTTCGGTGCAAACGGGTTGCAGTTTGTTAACGGTTCGGTGTAAACGGTTTTTATGCCAGTTTAAACGGTTTCGGGTTAGAAACGGTTCGGTTTAGATTTGGTTCGGTTCTTAAACGGTTTAACGTTTACTCGGATCGGTTCGGTTTCGGTTTTATTAACATGCGGTTCGGGTCGGTTTTCGGTTTCATAAAATCGGTTTTTAATCGGTTCGGTTCTCATTCGGATCGGTTGAAACGGTTCGGTTTCACCAGTTCGGTTCGGTTTTTGACAGTGCTAGTCATAATGCATAATTCAAAGTAGAGATTTCCTTATTTAGAGTCATGTCATCATTTCACAAACAATTAATTCCAAAAAAATTAAGTTACAAATGGAATATACGAAGTACTCCTTCCGTCCTTTATTTACAAGCCATGATTGGGAAGTACAAATATGCATGTGGGGTTAGAAAGAGATAAAGAGAAAGAAAAGGTAGTTGGTAATTATTGAAGAGATAGAGAGAGAAAGTGTTGGAAAATAATGTCAAAAGTACAAAAAAAAAATAAAAAAAAATGATGACAACTCACCAGAAAGAAGGAATATTGTCAAAAAATACATTCTTTAAATAGAAATAGGCATGTAATTTTAAAATCCCCAAAAAGGAAAGTAGACATGTAATAAGAAATAGAAGGAGTATTCAATATGGGTAGATCTTTTTGAAATGACCAAAATAGTATAACCTTTTAAATTAAATGTTACTTCGTACAGAACGATTTGCCAAATTGGTATTAATTAATAAAGAAATTACTAAAATAGTGTTCACTTGAAAATATTTCTCAAAGTAGCGTTCACGTAGATTTGGAAATTACAAAGCTAGGAGTTAAAACATGATAGCTAAAAGCCTAGAAACATAATTGAAGAGACAATTTTTTTCTAATAAAATTCTTTATCTTTATCTTTAATGTTTACAATATCTTAATCTGTGTAGCCTTGAGCCTTAATCAATAATGCTTCCGTAATTTAATAGCAAAATGGATACAATAAGCACTAATGAAAGTATGAATTATGAATATAAAGTAATATATATACATGTTTAAAAAATTTCTAGCATTTTTGGTATGGATATACCTTTTTAAAAAAAATCTATGTAACATGATACATAATGCATTATTTAGTCGGACGTAAATCATCAAAGGGCAATTATTAATCACCATAGTGTTCTTGAAACCTAGTAACCTACTATATCTAGTTTTACATTGTAATATCAATTTGGAGACTATATTACACTATATTACTAAATAGCTCAAAACATGTCATACTAAGTCAAAAACTCAATCACTAAACACGACTAATTTTTTTTAGCACCATTTTTTAATATGGAGATGATGAACAATCTTCAGGTACGGATGTTTTTTTAAATTAGACTTTAAAATGATTCGATAAAAAAATTATAGGTTTGAGTTTTTCGAACCTACATGGACACTACTTTGAGAAATATTTTTAAGTGAATACTATTTTAGTAATTTCTTTATTTTTGAACACTAATTCGGCAAATCGTTCACTTCGAAGGGATGTTTTAATATATATATATATATATATATATATATATATATATATATATATATATATATATATATTTCTTTTGAAGAGATATTTTATGAATATTTAGAAGTATTTTTAGGTTTTTGGGGAAATATATAGAGTCATTTTTAAGTATTATATTTTTGGTAAGTTTTTACAAGTTTGTCAATATGTTTGATAAAAATAATATTTCTATATTAGATAACATTATCTAAAAATGTTTATATTTCGGGGTTTTTTGTGTCCTTCGGGAGAGTTACGTCACCAACACTGATTTCCCAACGGTTGAACCTGCGAAACAACGGAAGCTCCGGGTATTCGAAGTTCCACCTCCGACGATCAAGTTAGAAAGTGTTCGGAGTGATGTGAGAAGTGCGGAAAGTAAAAGCAGATCTTCCCGGATTCCGAAATCAGGTGATTTCTCTATTTTCGAGAGAATTGATTATGTATGTAACACCCCAATAATTCTCCCTTTTTCAAACTGCTAATTTAAAATAAAATAGAGGAGAACTATTGACATGTTACCGCCACGTGTTAAATCGTTAAGGCTTTATCAAAGTATCGCAGCGAAAAAACCAAACTTAAGTCTTTAAAAATAACAAAGTTTAGAAAACCAATAAGTCAAAACTTACAAACTGGAACCATAAAGACCCTTATTTAAAACCAAACCAATATTCAAAACTCAAATCATAAATGAAATAAAAAAATATAAATAAGTTCAACACAAAGAACGAATACTCTCAATCACACTAATCCCTTGACAATGCGTTTGCCAAATCCCCGAACTTCACATCATCAAGATAACCTGTGCAATACTGCTCCCCAATAATACAAGTGTAACAATTGGATCATCACAAGGTTATTGAAAGGCGAAGGCTATGACCAAAAGAAAACACACAAAAGCACGCTGCAATCAGCAAAGCTGAGTACATACAAGTTACAACACACCAACTTAGCATGCTCAACTAATTAAAGTATATAACGTTTAACATGAATTCATTAACCAAGACTCCACACTAAAATAGTTCAATCAACTCAACATACTCACTAACCAATTCCAAACACTTGACTCTTTATATTTAATTTAATTAACTTAATTTGCAGTAAGCAATAGATGAGATTGTCCAATCCACCAAATCATTTTGGTCCCAAATGACCATTTAAAATAAAAATATAGCGATGCAAGAATGGGCACGACTCCATTCTCACAAAGTTAGTCTAGGATCCCACCTAACTCCTTGTTGTCTTTGGAACAGATGCGCCTGGTAATGAGGGATCCATCTACAGCCGTATATGTTTAACCTCTAGATCTTCATCCGTATCATGGTCTGAAAAGACCTCAATCGTAGGCTGCTTTTCTATAGGAGGCGGTACAGTCTCTTGAGAAAGCATCTTAGAGGTACTTTCACAGACAGCGCCAAATGTTTCGGGGTTTTTTGTGTCCTTCGGGAGTTACGTCACCAAGACTAATTTCCCGCCGGCTGTACTTGCAAAACAACGAAAGCTCCGGGTGTTCGGAGTTTCGTCTCCGACGATCAAGTTAGAAAGTGTTCGGAGTGATGTAAGAATTACGGAAAGTAAAAGTAGATCTTCTCGGATTATGAGATCAGATGATTTCTCTGTTTTCGAGAGAATTGATTGTGTAATAAATGAACGTATCCTCAAAATGGGGTAAATCTCCCTATTTATAGGGTCATTGGAAAATGTGCCCCTATCTAGGTCAAGGTCATTGGAAAATGTGCCCCTATCTAGGTCATTTTGACCTAGATTTGGTGGGTTGCGCTGCTTTGCGGCTTTCTCGGGAATTGGGCCCTGAAAGCCGTCATTCCCTGACGAATATCTGTATGCCACGTGTCTGGTCCAGGAGAGTCTATTTGAACCCCTTACAGACTGAGACATGTCACACTCTCATTGTACCACGTGACGGGGTAAAAATCCCCAAATCAGTTTATACAAATGTAATTTATTAAAAGGGAATAAAAATGACACCCAAAGAGATAACACATGCTTTTATTAAAAAAAAAAAAGAAAAAAAAAGATGTTTTTACATACACAACTATTGATTCATTTTATCAAGGATTCAAAAGTTGCAAAAGTGGGCCAAGTTTCACACTTAATTACAAGTAACAATCTCTTAAGACTTAAATTATATTGGACCTTTGCACATTTTGGATATTAGTAAGAGCAAAAATGATTGTATCTCCTCTTTAGGTCCAAGTCTCTTAAATGGCTTACAAACTTACACGAAAGTTGGACATCTTCCCACATTTGGTTATGGATGAAT